CAGGATGCGTATTTTTTTCCTGAAAAGTCGTACTCGCGTATTTTCGGCAAAAAATCGTACTAAAATACGTAAAATCATACAGGTTGGCATCTCTGTAAGGGTCTTGAACATCTAGCTCTCACTGGCGAAATTGAGGGCAAGCGAGGCAGGAGTAGGCCCAGAAAAAGATCAGGGAAAGGTAGCTTTTTTGAAAGCATCCGAGCAAAGGAATGAATGGAAGACCATGATCGCCGATGTCTGTCGCAGATCTGGCACTGGATGATGATGATGATTACGGCACTCGCAACTGCATAAGGTCACATGAGCGCCAAGGGGTGGATGTCAACAGAGAAGTCTTTACAGGGAATCAGGCTTGCTCTGCTCACCTCTCCAGCTTCAAAAGCACAAAGTCTGCTTCGACTTTCAAGGCACCCAGGACATAGCAGGTCACAAGAGAGTGACAAACATACAAAAGAAATAGAGGCAAAATGACAATAACAAGAATTAGGGGGAAAAAAGCAGCAGTTCCCTGTTGTAGATCAGGCACACTTATGAGCGTGACATTGATGAATCAGCCCATTTACAATTCTACAGTGCATGAACGAGAAATGTCTCCCCCCCCCCCCCCCTCCTTTTTGGGAATAGCCTAAAGAAACTTCAGTCAGTGGCACCGCCCCCGGGTGGGGGGGGGGGGGGGTCCCGTCAGACAGAGGAGACAGAAGAACATCAGCGCAACAACGACCACTTGGTGCGGGGGAGGAAGGGAGCAGATAGACAGAAAGAACAAATGATGGAAAGTAAAGATGTAGGATTAACCAATGTCGATCACAATCTGACGAGAGATATTAACATATTGTAAGTCAATGTAGGTTTCTATTTTTTTCGTCCTCGTCGACATAATTGTAATCATTCAGGAGACTGTCAAGGCAACCTGAGCTGAACGGAGAAGAATTGTTAACTTTGTCCGTATAAGTAAATACATGTCTTTGGACACGTCAACGGCCATTTGTTGCCAGTTTAAAAAAGCAACACAGACTCTGACAATTCATTCAAGAGAAAAAGAAAGACAGACGGCCACAGAACAGAAACCAGAAAAAAGGACAAGAAATACAACTGTAATGATAAAAGAGAAATAGAATATATTAGCAGTGCTCTTCCAGAAAAAGTGGCAAATAAATATACCCCCCCCCCCAAAAAAAAAAAAATACTTAAAAAATATTAAACCCATCACTCTCTTCTTCACAAAGAAAAAACCCATAATAAATACCGCTTCAAACCTCATAGAGAAGAATGTACACTGCCAGAAAACCACAAAGACGCAAGCACTGATTGTTTAAGAGAACCCCCCCCCCCCCCCCCTAAACCAAAGCATCGTCAAACATTTTGAAAACTACCAAAAACGGAAGAATCACAGACTGTGGAAGCATTCTCATCCCCACCTTCGAAGCAATCAGCAAGGCATATTTGGTTTCTCGGCGGGTATACGTATCAGCAACGTAGGCGTCGACCACGCACTGTATACGGGTTTCCACACAATAGATCAATTGGTGGAGTGAGGATTGCATTTTAAGCGACAGGAAACAATGAACCATTTGCCGGCAACTTTTCGTTATTTTCTTGCATGTCACATGAAGAAAATGTCAATAACTCTTGTTCAACCAGGGTAGAAAGCTAAAGCTTCAGACCAGGATGGGGATCTCGAACATACAAATTTCAATCCCAACTCCCTCATTTAGAAAAATAAATTCAAAAAACAATAATAATAGCTTGAATGACACTCTTTTAACACACAAAAGACTGCCTCCTGTGTCTGATACGGTGCCAATATGTTAAAAAAAAAAAAAAAAAGCAACAGCTTGAATTACATTCTTCCAACACAGCAAGACACTTTCTCCACTGATTTATTTCAAGAAACAGACGCATTTGTAAGTTTTCAGCTAAAGGCCTAGAAACATTCAATTATGTCAATACTCGATATTCACTCTTTATTTCCATTTTTTTTCCTTTTCAGAGACTTGGTTTTTTTGTTGTTGTATTTTTGTATTTTTATTTATTTATGTATTTATTTATTTATTTATTTATTTATTTTTATTTTTTTTTGGGGGGGGG